AAAATACCACATCTTATGCAATACCAGATGTTCAATTGGTCATTAATGATGACGCATATCTCAAGCCTGTATATGAGAATTGCAATTGAACAAGCAAATCTTTCTAATCCGATTTCAACAGCGTATTGTGTTGGTGCGGTACATTATCCTATTTACTTGTTAACTATTGTATTTTTTGTTTTTTTTGATCTAAGTCTATTGAATTTCTTATTAAAAAAAAAAAAGGTAATAGTAAAGAATGAAATAATTATTTCCACAGGATACTCACGTGAACTGCCTGGAAATACACATGCTGAGGAATGTGCATTAAAAAAATTATCAGACCCATTACAAGCTAAGAATTCAACAATTTTTACAACTATGGAGCCATGTAGCAAAAGATTATCAGGTAATAAACCATGTGTTGAAAGGATTATTGAAAGCAAAATCTCAAAAGTTGTATTGGGTATTAAAGAACCTAGTAAATTTGTTAAGTGTGAAGGAATTGATATTTTAAGAGAAAACGGAATTGAGGTTATTATTATTGAAGAGTTGGAAGATGAATGTTTGAAATGTAATAAACATCTTTTAGAAAATCATAAATAAAGAAAAAAAACTAATTCATTTACAACTATAATTACAACTATAGTTAGAAATTATGATTGTTACTAAAAAAATTCTTTTATACTCTGTGTATACTGACTCAAAATTGAATATTTTAAATATAATTAATGTATTTATTAAGTGAACTTAATGAACTGCATAGTGTTACAAGTTGGTAAATATTTTATTAATCGATTGTTCACATCATGTGGCATCATCAGATGATTAGCCAATCAAACCAAAGAAATTAATATAGATCTGTCTGGTTAGATAGAATTTCTCAGAATTGCACTAGTTGAATGCAGTGTTTAAAATTCAGATCGAAACCTACTTGCACAAATATAGTTGCATTATAGGTTTTAATTGCACAAACCAACTACTAGTTGCACATATGTGTATATAAATTATATTTTTACATACATATATTTATTATCTCTGAGTAATGCCAATATTATAAATTTAAATATACCAAATATATCAAATTTTTGTTTAATTTTCAGAATATATCAGATATTTTTTCTAAATTTAAGCTCAGCCTTGTTCATATTTTATATTTATTCATTTTCCTTTCAGAATTTATCTTTGTCTATTTCATATTTTATATTTAGACTAAATTTTTGTGTAATAAAATTTTATAATTTCTCTTACACATCATTTTTGTGCAAGCTTCTTATTTAAATTTAATTGCACACTTGTGCATATATATTTAGACCTTCCCTTGTACAAAAAAAAACTAGCTGCACATGTGCATCTTGTGCAAGCTAATTTTAAACACTAGTTGAATGATTAATTAATTAGTTGTTTAAAATTTTTTTCAAATCTACTAGCTGGAAAGTTGGCAACTAGTTGATTTTTCAACTAACGATTTGGAACACTAGAACCGCAATTCGAGTTCATTTACCTGATTAAAATACCCGGTGTGACAAATAGTGTATGTAGAAAATGGCATACCGAAAATGTGTACGTACGTATAATATCATGAATTAACTAGAGGTTTGTTGAAGATAATTGATATTCGAAGAATTTTTTAATACATTTTTTAATCTCGATTCGTTTTTTAATCTCGATTTGTTTTTTAATCTCGATTCATTTTTTAATCTCGATCTATTTTTCTAATCTCGATCCATTTTTTAATCTCGATTCATTTTTTAATCTTGATTTATTTTTTAACCTTAAATTTATTTCTTAATACTGCATTTATTTCATAATTTATTTATGATCTTAATTTATGAAAAAATATATATATTAAAAAATTTTGAATAATTGTAAATTTTTTTATAAGCCTGATTAACTTATATAATAAAGATAAATTTAATTAAGCATCGGTTAAGAATTTTAGTACATGTATCTATAGAAATTTTATCTCGAATTTTAAATTAAACTGTGATTAGGTTTAAGGCTTAAAGTATAAGGTATATAGGGTTTAATGTACTATATATTGGTTATTAAAGCTATTTTTTTTTTTACCATCTCTGGTGAGATTAAAATCGTCAATTTTAAAATTATTAATAATAATGCTGTATAAATTTACTAATAATTGTTATGTGTAAAAACGGGTACAACAAAACTGGTGAAAAACAAAACTTGAATTCTTTATCAGTTATTATCAGCTATGAATGTTAAAACATGATTTAATTTAATGCATAATTCTAAAATATAACACATAATAAGTCAAGGCACAAATCTATAAAGTATATCATTTTCTAGTTTTTATACAATAACCCTGTCGAAGATATAATAAACACTGTAGTTTCTGTTATTTTAAAGCTAAATTCTGAAATTAAAATCATTTAAAATTTACCCAAACTCTTTATTATATATATATATGTGTGCAGCTTGAGATAATTTTACATGGAAAATAAAAGAAAAATTATTAATATGAGTGCCGCCAAGGGAAAACCTGACTTCGGACTTTCAATTATATTTTGTGTACAGTTAGCCATCTATGAAAAATCTATCATTATGATAGATTTTCTATAGATGGCTTGAAAATCCGAAGTCAGGTTTTCCCTTGGCGGTACTCATATTTTATACTAAATAAAAGCAATCCCAGATTTTGAAAAAAGAAAATTGGGATTGGGGATGGAGCCTTATATTTAACTATATAATAAGATTATGCTCAAACAAGCAACCCCCACTTTGACCCACAAAGATCCCAAATTTTGTTGTTTGGTAATATATATATGGTACGTAACTTATTATTTTAATTTCAGGTAATTATATAGTTTAAAAAAAAATCATGATTTTCAACCAGACAACGACCAAGCTACTTTGCTATCGCTATGATTTAATGCCTATCCTATTTAGTACTGTCAGACTTATCACTGTCTTGTTTAACACTGTCAGATTTAACACTGTCAGATTTAACGCTATCAGACTTGACACTATCCGACTTGACACTATCCGACTTGACACTATCAGACTTGACACTGTCAGACTTAACACTATCTAACTTGATATTATCTAACTTGACATTATCTAACTTGACATTGTCAGACTTAGCATTGTCAGACTTAACATTATCAGATTTAACATTATCAGACTTAACATCGCCTGACTTAGCGTTAATGTTGATTAATTTCATAATGGAGTTGTCTAAGTTGATATTGTCGTAAGCTTGAATTGCTGCATGCTTCTTAGCTTCATTTTTCTTTTTGCCCTCACCAGTTCCATAAATCTTTCCATTAACTAGAACTTCATAAATAAACATTGTATTATCACTGTTACTGTTTTTCCAATTATATATGGGTTCGCCAAGTCCTTTTTTTAATATCTGTAAATCGAGTTTCATTATATGTTCTAGTTCTGGAGGTGTCTCGTTATGGTCTTCAGTATCTTTTAAAACTTCGGCCCATTGATTGATGAATGGTATTAAGAATGGTTTCAAATATTCCATAACTTTATCAAAATCGCAACTACAGTCTAAATATATTGCAGCAATATATGCTTTAAAAGTTTCACCATGAATATTATCATTAATATATCTATCCATTTCATTTCCTTTATCTAAGATTAAACATTTTTCCAATTTCAATTTTCTAAAAAATCCAGCCAAAGTTATTTTATCTAGAATCTTTTGTTTTAAATCTACAAGCGTGTATATTTTATATTTTGATGGAATGCAGCAAAAAAGATAATAAGTTGCTATGTTGTCGATTATAGAATTGCCTAAAAATGCCAATCTTTCATTATTTTCATCGGTAGAATGGTTTGTTAATGCTTTTGTTCGTAATTTTTTATTTTTAAATTTCCATTCAGTGATAGTTTTCTTTTTAGGCAACAAAAAAAGAAATATGTATATAATAATGCATAATAATAATGATACTAGTATTGAACTAGTATAGTGGGTATGAAAATAACGTACTGATTTGGCAGCTTCATATTTAATAAAAGCCCAAAGTAATTTGGTAACTTCTTTTTCTATATGTTCAGCAATCTTACTAATCATTTTGAAAATTTTAATGTTTTGTAACGACAAAGGGTACGAAATAACCATTGCAGCATTCTCGATGTTATTTATTTATTTGCTTACCGTTACTAAATTGGGTTGTACTCAAACGTTTGATCTCACAAGATAACACAATAATAGTAGCCCGTTTACAATCCATTAAATTATCTTTAGGTACTGTACGTACGTAATCAGTTGTTTATAACTTTTCGGTTTCAAAAAAAAAAAAAAATTCGGCCTAATCTCTTATTTATACCATAAAACTAGGATATGATATATAATATTATTGCTTTAACAACCTTTAATCGATTTAAAGAATCTAACGAATGATGGGGCATATGCATTTCGGTACTACGATGCATTATCTATCATCAATATGTGTGTTGCAGAGCGAAAACCTGTAACTGATCATAATGATTTACTATGATCAGTCACAAGTTTTTGCTCTGCAGCACTCATCAATACAGCACAAAATTAAAGTTTGAAATACGGTATATACGTACGTACGTACTCGATATCGTTGATGCTTAACTAAATTTAACTGAATATTTGGAACTTTGACTTTAATCCAAGTAAAGATCACTTTATTATATAATGAGATAAAAAAGCATTTTAATTGG